TTTTTTTCCTATCGACTTTATTAGAAGTTGATGAAAGCTGCTAGTTATAAAGTTCCTGGGTTTGCATGTTCTCAATTGAAATATAGGAGCATAAGTGTGGTTTCTGTATGGTGGTTTATACTGATTGTAAGATGTATATTTACTGCTACACATTTTTTTTTTCATTTTCTTAATGTTGTTACAGGGAGTATCTTATTGATTTGGTTGAGAACCCAGGATGCTTATGTGACCCTGATTCCTTGCTGAATGGTCCATCTACAATCGCAATTTCCTCACCTTTATGCTTTCCGCGGTTTCGGAAGGTGGAACCTGCGGTTGATTTCAGGTTGCTGGCGAAAAAATTCTTCTCAGATCTTCAGTCGCTCAATCTTGAGTTCGATGATTCTGTAGCAGGTTATTATCATTATATATTTGAGTTTTTGTTTAAATGTGGTTATCTTCTTGATTTTATTTTATCTAAAGTGTGCCTTGGGGTCTATAAATAATGGAATTTTGTGGGTACTGTATGGACTAGAGCAGATATAATGTTGATCCACTTTATGGTCCATAATAGAATTAAGTTGTGGTTCCAAGTTCATTGTACTAATAAGTTCTAAGTTTGGATAATGGTTTCGCTTGCGAGAAGAATTTTGCTAGGATACTCTGGAACCTGGAATTCATATCTTGGTCATTGAGAGTGTGAATTATGGGGATCCTAGTTTTTCATAGGATTCGTGTACACAGAAGTGGACATTGTGCTTCATCTATTGTACGTAGTTATATTTATTTAAATGTATATGTAGCTTAATATAGAATAATGGTTGTAACTTAACTTTTAAGGTAGATATCATATCAAAAGTTGTGATATAGGGATATGAAGATTTGGATCCTGGTACAAATGGTTTGAGTCATACCACAAACATTCTGTTTGGATATTCCCCAAGTATTTTAGTGAAATTTACAAGTTGCATGTCATCTTGCCAATCACATTGGTAAAATAATCTAGGCTCCACTCTATAGCATCCCGAATTCATGTCTACAACTATTTTGTAATGATCTCTGTCGTATTAAACTTTTGTTTTCAAAACTTGACATTTACTATTCTGGGCTGCTGGCTTGAGTTTACAAGAAAAATCTTGTCTGCGACAGCTGGAAATATTATTCATGGAGAGATATCTAAACAGTCGGAGGGGACTCATGTTGATAGAACCAACTCTCCACCCAGCTCAAGCAATCGAGAGGAGATTTCTGAAGCACAACCATTCGCCACAAATTCCTGGATAAAGGTTCATGATAAAGAACAGTTACTCTCTAGACCTTCTAATGAGCAGAATGTAGTAAGCTCGGGAAATATACTCAAAAGCTCGATACCTTTGAAACTTATTCCTCCAATTGGGAATAAAGAAGTTCATCCGGTTATCTCCATGCTGGGTCAAAGAATAAATACAAATAAAGACACAAGGTTCGATGAAGGAGGTCAATCAGTTGCATCTAAAACACGTGAATTTACCTTTGATGTTGATGATCTAAAAATTCCCTGGTGTGATCTTGCTTTAAAGGAGAAGATTGGGTCAGGTTAGTCTCCGAATTGCTCTTAGATAGTGCTCAGGACCAACTCTTGTGTTTGTCTATTGTACTCACTCAAAACCAACACCACGCACCCAAAACCAGAATAATAATAATTGGTCCATTTTTATTCGAGTTTGAGGTGTCTGTTAAGTTCTTTTTCATTGATGTACCATTGTTCATTGAGACAATTGCAATTAGGGTAAATAAGGGTATACTAAAACGATTGACTATTATTTGGAATTTTTTATGTAATTTAACTGAATTTCTTAATCTGTGTGAAAATGAAAATTAGGAATATCAAAGTGGGATGGTGGGACTATCATTTTGGAGAAAGCATATGCTAGTCCTCCGAACTGGTTGCATATTGATTTGGATTTGTTGGCTTTACAGGTTCTTTTGGAACAGTTCATCGTGCTGAATGGAATGGCTGTGTAAGAACCTCTCCTTCTACTCTTCATGCATGTTAACAAGTCTTATTTCATCTGTAACGGTGATGTCGAACTCCATTTCTACATTATCCCTTTAAGTTTTTTTTTTTTTTTG